TATAAATTGTGTAATTAGTCATAATAGTAGTAATGATAATGATAATAATAATAGTAATAATAAAAATGGTCTTATCAATAATAAGGATGAAAAAGTGAGGCAATTTGTGATAACACGAACAATGAAAAACAGCATGATTAAACAAACAACTGTTCAGGTGGAAGTAGTCGATAAAGGCTAGTAAAAAATCAAATTAACCGATTAAGTAATGTTAGATTGTAAGGGAAGGAAATGAAACACGTTTATAATGAAGATAAGATTAAGGGAAGATAAGAAAGGGGTTGAAAATATAAACAAAGGGTGGTGTAGAAGTTATTAGTTGGTTACGTCTTAATAGGCCAACAAGGAAGGGATAATGGCTGCACGAACTTTTTGAACACATAGTTTAGTTTTAATAGTTCGAATGCCTATTGCCTCAGCTGTGTGTAGTAGACGAATACGAAGTCTATTGGAAAGATTCGGTGGGATACGATGAATCACTTTGAAGGCTGTCGTTTTCTCGATTACATGACCACTATCAATTAAGTGTGACAAAATTGAGCTACGGATTGTTTTATCTGTCGTTTGCCAAACCACGATGGGGGATGTTCAGTAACACGTTGGTTGGCTAAGCAGTCTAGTAGTTCGCCCAACACAACTTTCACCGCAGGAGCAGAGTTGAATTGATAAATGCACATAGATGTGACAAAACTATCTGGCTTATCCTTCGTTTGCATCCCTATCACTCGTCGGCTAGAGAATGACAAACATAGGTGTGCTGCATAAAATGTTCTTCGTATACTCCTTGAAAGTCTCTGGAATAGAATCTCACTTGATAAGTCACCATTAAATTGTAACTTAACAAATAGAGGTTTCTTACGTGCAGTCAGAGTCTCCGGTTTTTCCTCCGATGTTTTCACATGTTTCTTTATGAAGCTACTCGGATAGCCCATCTCCATCAAGGAATCATGAATATATTCAAATTCCTTTTGTAAAAGGTCATCCGTACATATCTTTCTTGCTCTACTCGCAAGACATCTTACAACGTTCCTTTTATATTTAATGGGCACGTAACTAAGGAAGTGTGTGTATTGCCCTGTGAAAGTGCTTTTTCTATACACGCTTCTCCCAAGTGACCCATCTTCTCTCTTATTTAGCAAGACATCCAGGAAATGTAGTTTATTGTCCTGCTCCTCTTCACAAGTAAAGGTAAGCGAAGGGTGGATGTTGTTGAATTTCAGCAACAATTCGTCTATATTAACATTCTCATCAGCTAAGATAAATGTATCATCGACATATCGATAATACATATCAAACTGCTTGATGATGTCCTTCAATTTCCCGTTTTCAAGTTTTGCGAGAAAGAAGTCAGCTAACATTGGGCCTAATGGTGAACCCATAGCTATTCCATCTACTTGTCGATAGTAAGAATTATTAAAGACGAAGTGAACATTCATTGTGCATTTAAGGAGTAATTCTTTCAGACTACACATTTACGTATTTAGGGCTGTTGTTGTTATATTGCGCTGTTTAACTAACTCATTGGCCCTTTTTTTCTCTCCGCTAATCGAGTTAGTTAGTGTTACTTAGTTAGTTAGTTACTAAGCGTAGCAAAATAGCAAAGTGGAAAATAAAAATAACTAAAATTGTCGACACGTATTTATTTGCCTGCTATATTGGTCAGTTGGTTCGTGTGTGCGTGTGTAGACGTTGTATGTTATCTATAGATTTAGTAGTAGTGGTACATTAATCAAAAATGGAAGCGTCTACTTCTTTCTCTCTCTCTCTCTCCATCCCACCCCACCCCCACCAGCTTGTCGTCTGCTCCCACACACATACACACAAACACTCACAGTCAGACACATGCGCGCATACACACAGTGGTATCGTCGTCTCTCCCAATTCTGATTCCTTTTTTCTCTTCTCTAGAAGGATCTGATTAATCATCCACATAGAAGTGTTTGTATTTTATTCTCTTGTGTCGATGGGATGGGATGGGTGGTTGGGTTGGTGTGTGTGTGTTACTTTTTGTATTGTTTTAAGTTTTCACTTGTTGCTGTTGTTGTTGTTGTCGTGTGATGTGAGTCATAGTGACTAGGGGAACAAGCAGTAAAAGAGAGAGGGAAATATGCATTCACAAGATAAATACACGCCTATTATATACCCAGAGCTGTAATACTGCATTCATCGATCGTATCTTTCCGTTGTAGCGTTGCCTTTCACACATGTATAGATATATGAATCTGTGAGATGTTACAGACATCTGTGTGTCTGTGTGCCTTCAGACATCGGTTCTAAGCATCCTGAAGACGTGTCTGTAAGTATGGTATGTGCTTTGCACCGTCTAAGTGCACAGTACTGTTACAAGATTGACAGGAGCCTGTACCTACACTCACTTTTGCGGATGAACCGCTTGAAGTTGTTGATAAGTTTGTTTATCTTCGTGGGTAGTTGTGTGAGAGCTGGCGGAAGGGTGACGGATGAGGTTTCCAACCGTATAATGAAGGCTAGGGTGGCATACATCAACTTGAGCCACCTCTGGTGCCGTCGCGACGTTAGCCTGGCTGTCAAAGGTTGGGTTTACACTGCTTCGGTGCGGGCTGTCTTGCTCTACGCATGTGAAACCATGGCCTCTCCGAGCTGAGGATGTGCGGCGGCTCTGCGTGTTCGATCATTGCTGTCTCCACAGGATTGCTTGCGTTCGATGGCATCATCGTGTGAGTAATTCTGAGGTTCGGTGGCGTGTGTTTGAACACAGTGGAGATCACCATTTTGTTGAGTGTCGTCATCTGGAAACACCGGCTCCGGTGGCTTGGACATGTGCTGCGAATGTCATCCCAGAGGCTTCCGTACAGGTCTCTGTTCGCTAGCCAGCCCTGGGACTGGATGGGAAAGGTGGATGGGTGGTCAGTCCATGACGTGGCGTCGTGGGATGAAGGATGTTTGTGTTAGATTAGCATTGGTTGGTGCGTCATGGCTCCCTGATTGGGGTCCGCGAGATAGCTCGAAACGTTATCGGATATGGCCAGGAATCGTAATCAATGGTGAACGTGCTGCAATTTCCTTCTTTCTTCCCTTCCTGACGATAGTTGACGAATACTGTTTGAACTTGCTAAGTATGGCTGTTTTCCTTCCAGATGAAGTTCTTTATCCGTTTTTTCTACTTATATTTTTTACTTTTAATCTATGTTGTTTTATTATTATTGTGTGGCGCATCTTTCTGGGTGCCATATTGTACCAAGTTTTTTCTGCGTTTAAATAAATAAAATAATAAATAATCCTGAGGACGCCAACCAGACTGGTAGTCTACACCTCTCTATGTGTGGTTGGCTCAAATTACAACTGTCAAAGATTTTATCGACTGGATTCCATGTTTTGCTTTGACTACCGCCAACTCTTTTTCAACCTGACCAATCCTATGTCAGTTAGTGTCACTTGTCGTGGAAGATTTAACACATTTCTTAGTCATATCAATCGATGTAGCTTTTCACAATCTCATCGATTGATTTTCCTGAACTTAATATTACTCATTCGACAATGGGGGATAGAATGGAGACTTGTATGATCAAAGACAACTAGCCTTCTTACTGCTCAGCAGTCTGCTCCGTCCTCCTTTATGGCTGTGAGACCTGGCCATTGAAAATGGAGGACATGAAAAGGTCTGCTGTCTTTCATCATAGGTAAAGTGGTGTAATAAGGTGAGCAATATTGAGGTTAGGCATCGAGTGCTAGGTAAGGAAGAGAAATCAACCAACGAGGCTGTGAAGTTACATAGACTAAGATGGTTAGGACATGTGTTACGTATGCCTAGTCATCGCCTTCCTCGACGACGGGTAATGTTAGCTGACATAGGGTCAGGTTGTGAAAGAGCCAGTGGTGGTCAAACGAAAACATGATATCAGTCAGTGAAATCCACGACGTTGGAAGGTGGAGACTTCCTGTTTGGGTCCTCGGGATGGTAATAACACGTGGTTGGAGACAATTGTTGCTATGGCTCAAAATCCTCCTTCTCTATGGCGCAAATGCATCCACTCCTTGTGATTTATCATATCCGATAAAATTCTATTGTTCTTCCATATTACTATATCTTTTACCTCATATTTTTGTGTTTATGATCTCTCTCGTACTTTTGAATCTCTCTTTACTCTCTTCTCTTTCTTTGTGTGCTACAAGGAGGGAGAGTGGCAACTCTAACTGGTGCACATTTTTGCAAAGTTCTGTGTTGAAAGCGGTCAGTCAGTCAGCCTTCCTTCATATCTTTCAATGTTCATGTCCTTAATTCATAAGGGAGGACTACACGAAGTGCTGCTGAGCAGTGTACACTTCCTTCGATCGATAACCACCTAGCTGGATAGCACATCTATGTCAGAACCCTACAAGCCTTTTGTTTTCATGCTGAGATTTCGTCAGCAATCAGTCCAGTTCGAACTGATGCAACCGCCGAAATAAGTGAATTGGTTAACATGCTCCGTCAATCACTCCACTCCTACCAATCTTTAAGCTAGGAGTCAATGTAGTCCAGTTCAGTCCTGTGGCATTATCTTACATTTGACAGGAATAAATTGCATGCCAAATATTTGAAGATTACTTGCTGCTCAAGGTGTTCAGAGGGCTTTGTATGTTATCAGGGTCTTCACCTAGGAGGGAGTACTGTATTATCCCCATATTTTCTGAGTCGACAAAGGCTATTCCCTGGTAGTAACAAGTCAATCCTTTAGTCGCTGAGGCCGGCAGTTAAGGTTAATTCCCTAGTTGTCATCACTTCAAATGACAACAGCTCTCCGTAAGCTGCTCTTACACGCAGCTCTGCGTATGAGTTTGAAGTAGATTACCTTATGTGTGTATGTGTGTATCGATTGATGTGACGTAGTTGACACTGTGTTCCATCTTGTCAAGTTGGTCAACTCTATCGAATTCGACTTCAGCTAACTGTGATTGTTACATATATAGGCTTTTTTTCTAAAAAAAAGTTTTTCACGATCACTCCTAAACTACATACACATTTTTCTATTCTATTTTAGAAATTATCACTGATAGTTTAACGCCAATCGCTGAACCCGTCTATGATAATTTAGCTGTATACATGACATGGAAAGCTTATACGAAACCAGAATTACAAGCGTCTGATGAAAGTGCCAGCACCGCCACCACCACCACTACAGACAATGCTGGACAAATCACCTATCGTGTTGAGTATTCAATGCAAATTAGTCCTGTAGAAAGACAATATTTGATGAATACTGCTCAGGAAAATAATAATAGTACTAGTAGTGGCAGTAATAATGAGAATAAAACCGCCTCGGATTTATCCGATTTACGCGCTTTAATTGGTTTAGTTGGTTATGAAGCGATACGTTGGAGTGAACCAACTGCACTTAATCAACAGGTTGGTTGTATTGCTTTTGATTATATTATTATTATTATTATTATATTATTGTTTCCTTTAATTCCTAGAGGAATACAGGGGCTTCAACCGTGCGTCTCCATTGCGTTCGGTTCTCTGCTAGAGTTGTCACCTGGCTCCAATTCTGCCCCCACGTTTTCATCTCCTCTTCACATGACCTCCTCCAAGTCACCCTTGCACTGACGACCAACTCTCCTTTTCCCTTTCGGGTTCCACTCGAGCAATGGCCTGTCTAGTGATGTCACTTGATAGTTTCCTCAGAGTATGACCAGCCAATCCATCTCCGGTTCTTCCTGCTTTTTTGTTTCACAATCGGTTCCTGCTGGGTTGGTTCGCTCATTGCCAGAGATCTCTGTTGCTGATCTTTTCTGGCCAGCCGGCCATCTGATCTTGAGTATTGAGCGAAGACAACTGTTAATGAAGGTCTGTAGTTTGTTTGAGATGCTCTTTATGACGCGCAGTGCAAGTCTCTGATCCGTATAGTGAGTGGCACTGACTTCACATTGGAGTTGAAAATCCGGATCTTATTTCTCGTGATGAGTAGTGCTGTTGACCTCCACACAGACTTGAGAGTAGTGGAAGCCTGTCTTGCTTTTCCGATTCTTGCTTTGATATCCTCGTCAGTTCTGTTGGCCTGTAGTTGAAATGATGCTTTTCATGTCGGTAGGTAAAGGAGGTTGTTTTTTCCAGGTTCCCTCTGTTGTTGTTGTTCTTGTCCAGGGATTTTCATCACCTCTGTTTTCTCTATTTTTACCTGAAGTTCTATCTTTCATGCTTCCTCTGCCAACTTGTTGCTTTTCGCTTGCATATCTTCCAGTTTGTGGGAAATCAGACATATGTCATCATTGGTGAAATCCAGATCCTCCAAGTTTTTTGTGTGAGTCCATTTTATGCCTGTTTCCTCATTGCTCACTCTTTGTCGCATTATCCAATCTACTGCAATTAGGAAATTAATCATTGGCGATAGTAGGCAGCCAGCCTTGTCTTACTCCTGTCCTCACTTCGAGGGATTCCGTAAGTTTCCCGTTGTGGATTACTTGGCATGCAGCATTGTCGTACAGCTGTTGGGTGATATGTATAATTGTCGGTGGCACCCCGTAGTAGCTAAGTAGTTATTAATATTATTACTCCCTTGGTTTGCAAGTGGAACATACGACTTCAACAGAACATCTTCACTTCGTCTTCTCCTCTGCGGCTTTTTCTTCAGATACCCCTCCCCGATTGCCCATAGGCCTTCATTTCTTCGTCAGATGATCTCCTCCATGTTACCCTCGAAGTGACACCCAACTCGTCGTTTCCCATTCTAGTGATAGGAGTAGATATCAGTTCTATTCTATTCCATTCGTGCCTTTGTGATGTGGATTAGGTTGGGGGGAATTTCGGCTGTCAACCAAAAGATTGATGATTGGTCCTGTAGGGATTCGATGCGTCGATGGTTTAGTGAAGGGAAAGCTAGACATGTGAGACTAGCGACCTTACCCTGTGAAGAGTAACATCACTGTTAATGACACTCCTGTAGGAATGTAAGGAACTGAAGAAATTCCAATCATAAATCGATAATTAATTGTCATGGTTAAAATATAATCTGGCAGCCTGTTTAAATCACTAGGCTACTTAGATTTTTTATCGCGTCTAACTCATAAATGTTATTATTCCCTTGGGTTCCGAGTGGAACATCGGATTTGAACAGCATGTCTCCATTATGTCCTATTCTCAGCGGTCCCTTTTTAACTGTCCGTCATCTCCTCTACGCAAGACCTGCTGCATATCACTCTCGAAGTGATGCCCCAGTCGAGTGATTGTTTGGAGGGGAATTGTTACGGTTTCATCAGTGGTGTGTGCCAAATTCGTTTCCATTTTCTTCTACATATTTCTTGAGCAATAGGTTCTTGATCGGTTTGTTCTCAGCCAGTGTTTCTTGTTACTAATTCTCTCCCCCGTCATTTAATGTTCAATATGGAGCCAGCGAAAAGGGCAGTTGTTGATAAAAGATATAATGTATAAGTGTTTCCTCACTTCTTATTGTTGTAATCATCTAACTGTGTTCTTGGATCATTGATTGTATAAACTCGCACACAGTTTTAGTTTTTGTTGTAATGCAGAGCACTTCTCAAAAGAAATGAGGAAAATAGATCGTAGAGATTTAGATATTTTGATTGAACACTAGTCAGTACCTAGAGGGATGTGTCTAGTCTGCTTTGTTTGGTGCAGACTGAATTCTATCAGTCAGGTAACATCTCTGAATGCAGACAGCACTGGTTGACACACAGTTTCAAATCTCGAACAGGGGACATGGCTTCCTGCAAGGTGATTACAGATACGTCTTGCTGACTGACTGACTGGTTGTGAGTGCCAGCCAATAAGCTCGAAACCTAGGGTCTAGGCAAGGCTTCCCACGGATGACTCTACCTCCAATCATCTAATATCAACAAGATTTGCATATTGTTACTTTCAGATGGAAGAACAACACAGCGTCACTCGATGTGATGTACTGTTGAATACCATTTTATACTTGACGATCCAGCCATTATTATTGTTATTATTTACGAGTTGATCACGGATTGATATCAGTTAGAGAACCATTGAAAACCAGCATGGAGTAGTGGACAGCTGTTTCATCCTAGTTTGGGTATCATCGGCAGTACGCACCCGCCTATCAGAGTTCGAACCCAGGACCTTCCTGTTACAAGGCAAACTCGTATACTATTCAGCCACTGGGACCCAACCCGATTCCAATGGCCAGTGCTTGAATTCTAACTTCTGCCGATTCATGATTTAGCGTGACCCCAACCAGTGTCACGAATCGGTAGAAGTTAGAATTCATGCACTGGTCATTGAATTGGTTCCCAGCGGGTGAATGGTATACGAGTTTTTCTCGTAACCGGAAGGTCCTGGGTTCAAAGCCCTTGTGGTGGGTGAGTACTGTTGTTGATTCCCAAATTAGGCTGATGAAACAGCTGTCCAGTACTTCCTGGTTTTCAATGGTTCCCTGTTACTGATATCAATACGTGATCAACTCGTAAAAACATAACTAACCCTTACAAACCAAACTATAAAATATTGCTATTATTATTATTATTAAAATTCTGTTCTTGACGCTTTTGTTTTCTTTTCTATTATCTAAATATATGCAGTTTTCATCACCGTATGCTTATGCAACTGGTGATCCACTCGAGCCGGGTAGACGTTATCGTTTCCGAGTGATTGCATTAGATCCTTCAACCGGTGTGCATTTAGTCCCACCATCAGGTTGGTCAAATATAGTCAGTATGGAGCATATAAGTCAAGTGGAACCGCCACAAATAAAAGTTGTACGACCTATGGTAAGTCTTCTTCTCTAACTGTTTATATTATTACTTACTTTACTTTACTTCGGCTGTCTCCAACGGGAGGATGAGCCGGCTTCATGAACATCTCGAATCATCGCTGCCCAGGCGCGGCGATCTTATGCAAGGTTTTGCGGCAGGGTTATCCAATTCTTGTTCCACAGACGGAGTCCGTAGACGGTTTGTAGCCCGAGGCACTCCATATCAGCCTTGACTGTACCAAGCCATGTAAGAGAGTTCATGAAGTTTCATGGGAATTTGGTACGAGTGATGTCCCCAGAATCGCTCGGCCTTTTGTTTGATAGTGCAGCTCTAGCCTTTACACAACCAAGTGTGACCTACAAGGCAGTAGGAGTGGAGTAGGGAGTCCACTATCCATTGGCAGCCGGTGACCGGAGTTTGGTTCATACGCCTTTTTGAATGGGGCCAAACATCCAGGACATCCAACAAGCCCTTTGTCCATACGTCTGCCGTGAGCTCCAGTGAGCTTCATACGCCAGTCGTTGGAGGTTTGGAATCAGGGTTTAGCCATCTCCCCTAGATTGTCATCCAATGGACAGTCAACCCGGTGAAGAGCGCCAGGCATCCGCTTTCGCCCTCTCACTTTGGTGAAAAACACCTCCGCCACGTGAAGGCAGTGAGTAGGACTTCCTCAGGAGAGGCTGTGTAAGACGCCCGGTCATATGGGAGCATTTCAAGAGGTGTGTGGAGGGGTGGCCAACCCGCAGCGCAAGGCACCCACCCCCGACCATCCTGAGGCTTTGGAGGCTTAACTTGTTTATATTATTATTATTATTGCCACTATATGTCCGTATACAATTTAGTCTCTCAAAGGTGCTTGTACTTCTAGATTCGTTCGAGTTTTCGTTTTGGTGTTTGTATAAAACTGATGCAGTAAAAGTTCTCTCCAGTCCTTTCCTTCGGTGGGATATAAGAAGAAAATTTCCATTGTCTTTGGTAGAAGCTTCTCTTTCTTTTTTTGTGTTTCATTCACGCTATGAACCTACACTCTCTCTATATGTTGATGTAATTTCCTGCCTCCCGTTTGATTGATTATTGTTCTTGGAACGAAATACTTAGTTGGTGAAAATCTGGGAGTAACTGGACAGCCAACTGTTCCCTCCTAGTCTCTTGGGTCTCTTCATTAGTACACACACACACTACTGTCAGGGTTCGAACCCTGGGATTTCTGGGTACAAGTCCAGCGAACCTGTAGGCCAGCCATCAACCACTTGGACTCGATCCCATGAGAAATCCACGAATTCCAACTTCTGCCAATTCTTAATATTAATAATAATAATTATAATTTGCTTTATTCCAAAACAGTACTTGTGATACAGAATGGAATTCTCAGCATTCTTTTACTACAGTATTGCATCCAGTTAGTACATTATCAATAAATAGAATTCTACATAGATTGAGGAAATCTCAGTTCATTATGACAACAACACATTGGCATGTCGGTAGCAAAGCCAAAGTTGAACAGTGTTTGAAGGTGTTAGAAAAGTGGGAGGTATCATATTTACTGGCTTAAGCGGAAGAAAGAAACAAAGCAGCACAAAACGGAAAAAGAGAGAGAGAGAATAGGAAAAGAAAGAAAGAAAACGTTGTACCTATAAATGATATGAGTTGGAAAGACGAGATCCAGTTGTTCTACTGACTATTTGATAAGTTATAGGTGTCACGCCTAATGCTTTCTTTATCACACAGAACACGAGCTAAGTAGGGTATGGTTGAGTTTTTGTACTTGCTAGTGCGAGCATATAGTTTTCTATATAGGCTTCTGGCTTTGCCTGGTGAGATGCAAGGGTAGAGTTGTGAGTGAAGAGGGTGGTGTGAGTTAGATAAAATGGATTTGGCCCATTTTTCACAATAACAGCTGAATAGCCCCAAAAGACTAGGACGGCACAGCTGTCTAGTACTCCTTGCTGGTTTTCCATTGGTTCTCTAACTGATATTATCTTGCGACCTAACTTGTAACCACCAATCAATTCCTTGCAAAGCAACACTTGATAATTAATCCTTCCCCTGGTGGCGACTGGATGTATATAAAGGAAGTTACCTGGAGTTGTAGTGAGAAGTTGTAACCAGTGGAGTCCATCAAGTCAGGTAAGAGATGATGATCAGTTACTCGCACCTATGGCATCGACTGGCGGTTGGCAGAAGTTGGAATTCTTCAAGACTGACCATTGAACTGGGTCCCAGTGGCTGAATGGTCTACAAGATCGCCTTATAATTGGAAGGTCCTAGATTTGAACCCTAGCAGTGGGTGCGTACTGATAAAGAGACCTAAGAGACTAGAGCGAGACAACTGTCCAGTACTTACTCCCAGGTGGTTTCCCAATGGTTCCCTAACTGATGTCAATTCATGATCAAACCTATGACCACCAATCAGATCCTTGCAAACGAACACTGTAAATACTTAATCTGTATTAACATGTGTTGTCCCCTAGTGTGGGATATTTCCATGATGCGTTATTTCGGTTGTCAATAGATATAGCCCTTTGGCGTCTTTCAAATCATGAGTGTGTTTTATGTTCAAATCTTCATGGGAAGAATCAGGTACATCCAACTGACTGACGAGTCCTGAAAATAGGATAAATGAAATTTGCATCCTGGATTCTGCTGCTAGCTGCCATCAACCTTATTGTGCGTCCTGCCGACCATGCACATGGTCTGAGGTTCGATCCCCTGGGTGGCTGGCTGGATTCAACATAGAACTTGCCACCGAAGTGCACCAGTTCCAGTTGCCACGTTCCAAATAGTACACAAAGGTAGACAAGAAGATGAGTGAAGAGAATCAATAGAGTTCTGACAATTATAAGAGTGAAACAGAATGAGTAATGGTAGAAAGGAATATCAATAAAGATTACAGAGACTGAATACATTTGCGTAAGCCATTGACAACGATTTTGAGCCATGTCACCTATTGTCTCCAGCCATTGATTCTTAGAGTCCCGAGGGCGGGCCCCAACCCGGAAGTCTGCATCTCCCTGCCTACCTGACTCAGTTTAACTGTCAGGGATTTAATGGATTGATTGATGCCATGTTTTTGTTTGGCCACCACTTACTCTTTTCCAACCTGCACCTACCTATATAAGCTAGTAATGCCCATCGGGAGGGGGAGGCGATGGTTAAGCATGCGCAGCACGTGACCTAACCATCTCAATCTATGTAACTTTATAGCGTTTTCGATTGATTTTCCCTCTTTGCCCAACCAACACTCTACGCCTAACGTCAAAATTACTTACCTTATTATGCCACCTAACGTGAGAAAGAGATCGTAGACATCTATGATCAAAAACAGTCAACCTTTTCATGTCTTCAACTCGTATTGGCAGGGGTTCGATGCCCTGCCGACGCACACCTGATATCAATGGTCGATCTGCTGAAAATTTGGGCTACCGATATCACATGCTGAAAATTCCATACTTGTACCGAAAGTACTGTGTGGAATCAAGCTATAATAAAAAAATTGTGGTATACAGAAGGTTAAAAGTCACTAATCCTTCTCATTATCTTTCCTCATTTACACTCTGGATGAGGTCGAAAGTCATCTCTCTCCATCTCCCTCCCTTCCTTCGCCCCATCATCATCCTGCAGTTTTTCGTGAATTAATTTAATCTTCCATTTCAATGAATAATAATTTGTGGATGGTAACTGACTAGCAGTAGTGGATTCCACCATCCAGGATGCACATTTTGTCCTTTATTTGGGACTCGTCAACTCTATGGATGATGACATACCTGCACTCGTGGTGCAAGTTGTCTACTCATAAAATTTATCAGTAGTATATATACAAATATAGATGTTCATCAGTATAAAGTCATCAAATCTGATGCTAGTGACTTGCTACAGGATGGAATTTCCTGGAGTCAGTTCTAGTGAGAAGTCGTGACCAGTCAGGTCCATCCAGATGTCATGAGTGTGGATGGATGTCCCACCAACGAAAATGGTTGGGGTCGCTCTAAATCACGAATTGGTAGAAGTTGGAATTCATGTACTGGCCATTGAATCGGGTTGGTTCCCAGTGGCGGAATGGTATACTAGCTAACCTTGTAAGCAGAAGGTCCTGGGTTCGAACCCTGATAGTTGGGTGCGTACTGCCGATGATTCTCAAACTAGTTGGATGAAAGAGCTGTCCAGTACTCCCTGCTTGTTTTCAATGGTTCTCTCACTGATATCAGTCAGTGATCAACTCGTAAAAACATCAAATAGCAGGCAGATAGTTTTGATGTCAGTGAAAGCAAATGAGACAGCGTTGCGGAGATACATGAAAGACGTGAGAGGAACACAATATGAAGACCAGAAGTGGAAGACACAACAAAGAAGGTCTGTGCAAATGGTGCGTTGAAGAAAAGGTGTACATAATTCGGCTATTCCTTACGAAGTCTTTCGTTTTCTACCGTTACACAGTGGATAGGGAGCACTTTGGCGTTTGATGAATCGATAGGTATTGGGTTCAAGCCATAGTCAGTCAGTGGCTCTCCAGTCAATCACTTACTAAGGAAGGAATGCAGGCACGTCCAGTTGATGAGTCCTGAATAGGACGAAACGCGCATCTTGGATTCCGCTTCTAGCTGCTATCAGCCTTACATATATATAATCATATGTATGCATATATACCACCATCTCCTGCCCTCATTTGCAAATTTGTTGTTATTTTGTTTTACCTTCAGGAGTAATTGTTTTCACCTTGTGTGTAACCTTTTTAGTCTAACCTAGATATTTTGGTTTATAGTTCACCTTAAAGCCAACAATTTGTCGGTTCCCTGGTTTGTGCGTGTGTATGTGTGTGTATTTGGCTGTGTTGTGTTCATCTCCAACGTATTTCCGTTTACGAAATTAAAAAAACAACAACAGCAACCTACAAATAAATATAAGGCTTGATGACCTTTTTGTAATTTGTTACACTAGCTAACACGAAACGATACAGTTTTAATCGCTTACTGTCGGGTTTTATCTCTATTTTTCTCTTAAATTAAAATTTCTGTACA